TAGTTTTTCTACAATTTGAATGAATCATTAATCAACAAAATTTGTCCATGCTTTTATTCCTAAGCAGTTGGGATCGAGAGACGAAGAGAGTGAAATAAGAGTTTTTTTTTCGCACCTATTTTCTTTCCCTTGTGATCGAGATATGAAGAGAGGAAAATCGGAGATTTATGTGTTGGAAGAGAAACAATTTTAAATCCTCCAGTATCTTAAATCCATTTTATTCTCCGTTCTTCTATAAATTCAAAGTTTTAGGAAGCACGAAAGAGGGTTGGAAGAAAGGGAGAGAAATACAAGGGCTACCTTCCACAATGACATTGGGTAGGAGTGCTGCTGAAGTAGAAATATAGGTGTTTCAGAGATCTTTGTACGCCACGATACTGTCATTGCCTTTTCCCAGACAGATCTAGTCGTGAATGTATGGTAAGGGTTTTAGGCACGAGAAGGGAAAGGGGAAGGAAGATGGTGGTTATTGTCGAAACAGGGATAGAGTACAGGCAGACGAGACAATTTTGGGCAGAATGAAACAAGTAGTTTTTTTAGCACCTACTTTCTTTTCTTGTGATTGAGTGAGGAAAAGGGAAAATATTTGCATAGGTGGTGAGGTTATTCAAAGTGTTATAAACTTTAACCTTCTTGTAACCTACCTATAGCGTATCTGTAACCTACAAATAAGTTTCGCACTTCTGTAGTTTCGATAGTTACAGGTAAGTTACACGGAGGTTACAGAAGGATATAACGTGGAAATAACCCTCATGTATGCTTTAAATAACCTCCAACGTACGTAGCGCTATGTACGTCTTACTTACACAAATATTTTTCGAAGAAGAGACGGGAAGCAGAGCAGTAATGGAGTCCTTCAGCGATAGATTAATGAGCCATTTAGGGGAGGCGGTACCATCACGTTTCACAATTTGAGAACGCCAATTGGTGTTTAGTTGTGGTTTTTTTTTCAGTGTTGACGCCGGGTTCTTTTAATAAACTTTTAAGTATTTCATCCCTCTCCTCATCATGTGTCCTTATCCTAGCTTTTTAATTGTTCTCGGTGATCGAACTCCCTCACCCGTCTCTCCGTCGTCTGCCTTTCTTCTCTCCCTTCCCACTTAGTGCTCCAGTTTCTCTGTAAGCTCTTATTCTCCCTCTTGCCTGCCTCTCTCGCTTGTCCTTATGGTATCCCTTAGCACTCGGTGCTCCAGTTAATGTAAGTGAATGCATTTTCTGGCTCTTGTAATCCCACAATTGTCGATGGATTCGTTACTTATCTCATGCAATTTTTAGTTCTCTTTGTTGGAATTTTTTATGAGATTTTTTTCTTCATGCAAGATATTTGGAAATTTTTGCTCATAGATCAGCCAAAGAAGATTTATTTTTGCTGGCCCGTTTGAATTTTTGCTTTCCTTTGTTATGGTGGTTGGACTTGTGACACTTGTTATGGTGTTGAGATTGTTGCTAGTTCTGTGGAATTTTAGTGCTGGTGACTATGTGGTTCATTGGTGAGCTAATGAAAGCTTATTTAGGCTGGTCTGTTGGAATTGTTGCTTTCTTTTGTTATGGTTGTTGGACCTGTGACACTTGAATGCTTGAAATTAAGATGGTGTTGAGGTTGGGGCTAGTGTTGTGGTATCTTAATGCTAGTGATTGTGTGGTTCATTGGTGAGCCAACGAAGGTTTCTTTAGGCTGCTCTGTTGCAATTGCTGCTTTCTTTTGTTATTGTGGTTAGATCTGTAACACTTGAATGCTTGAAATTAATATGGTGTTGAGGTTGGCGCTAGTGTTGTAGGATTTTAGTGTTGGTGACTGTGTGGTTCGTTAGTGAGTCAATGAAGATTTCTTTAGGTTGGTTTGTTGGAATTGTGCTTTCCTTTATTATGGATGTTGAACTTGTGACACTTGAATACTTGAGTAATTTTTATGAGCTTTTCTTTATTTTTTTTGTAGGTTCGTGAGGTCCATGATGGGACATATGATCTTATTGGTTCGTCTAGATGATCGGTTTGTCGTTGTTACATGTGAAATCCTAATAAAAATAACCAAAGTTTACTTTACAAAAGTACTTCGTGTTATTTCTCTATTTTGTCTATCTTCGTTGTATGTTCCTTAATTTTTAATTTCTCTTCTTCTTCAGATCATCCATATTAGAGACTTACTCAGAAAAAGATATCATACGACGATAAGTAAGCTGACGACTCAAGAAAAAAAAATAAAAGAGAAAATGAATGAAAACAATCATTCAACAAAAAACCGATAATCACAAGGCATGATTATTCCATCTTAATTTTGAAATCTATAGTTCTTCTATAGTTTGCATGAATCATTAAGCAACAAAATTTTTCCATGCTTTTATTTCTTAGTAGTTGGGATCGAGAGACGAAGAGAGTGAAATAAGAGTTTTTTTTTCGCACCTATTTTCTTTCCCTTGCGATCGAGATATGAAGAGAGGCAAATCAGAGATTTATCTGTTGGAAGAGGAACAATTTTAAATCCTCCAGGATTTTAAATCCCTTTTCTTCTCCGTTTTGCTTTAAATTCAAATTTTTAGGAAGCATGAAAGAGGGTTGGAAGAAAGGGAGAGAAATAAAAGGGTTACCTTCCTCAATGACATCAGGTAGGAGCGCTGCTGAAGTGGAATTATAGGTGTTTCAAAGGTCTTTGTATGCCACGATACTGTTTCTGCTTTTCCCAGCCAGCTCTAGTTGCGAATGTATGGCTAGGGTTTCAGGCACGAGAAGTGAAAGGGGAAGGAAGGTGATGGCTATTGTCGAAATAGGGATAGAGTCTGCAGGCGAGACAATTTCAGGTAGAATGAAACAAGTAGTTTTTTTAGCACCTACTTTCTTTTTCTTGCGATCGAGTGAAGAAGAGGGAAAATATTTGCTTAGGTGGGGAGGTTATTCAGCGTGTTATACACCTTTAACCTCCTTATAACCTACCTGTAACCTATCTGTAACCTACAAAAAAGTTCCGCGCTTTTGTAGTTCCGGTAGTTATAGGTAAGTTATAGGGAGGTTATAGGAGGGTATAACCGGATATAACCAACCTGTACCATCTGAATAACCTCCGACGTACGTAGCGCTGCGCATGTCTTACTTATGCAAATATTTTTAGAAGAAGAGAGGGGAAGCAGAGCAGTAATGGAGTCCTTCGGCGATATAATAATGAGCCGTTTGAGGGAGGCGAAACCATCACGTTTCACGATTTGAGAACTCCATATGGTGTTTAGTTGTGGTGTTTTCTTCAGTGTTGACGCCGGGATCTTTCAATAAACTGTTAAGTTTTTCATCCCTCTCCTCATCATGTGTCCTTGTCTTAGCTCTTTGATTGTTCACAGTGATCGAACTCCCTCACCCGTCTCTCTGTAGTCTGCCTTTCTCCTCTCCCTTCCCACTTGGTGTTCCAGTTTCTTTGTAAGCTCTTGTTCTCCCTCATGTGTGCCTCTCTCGCCTGTCCTTATGCTCTACCTAAGCACTCAGTGCTCCAGTTAATGTAAGTGAATGCATTTTCTGGCTCTTGTAATCCCGCAATTGTTGATGGATTCATTACTTATCTCATGCGATTTCTAGTTCTATTTGTTGGAATTTTTTATGAGATTTTTTTCTTCATGCAAAATTTTGGAAAATTTTTCTCATAGATTAGCCAAAGAAGATTTATTTTTGCTCGTCCGTTTGAATTGTTGCTTTCCTTTGTTATGGTGGTTGGACTTGTGACACTTGTTATTGTGTTGAGATTGTTGCTAGTGCTGGTGACTATGTGGTTCGTTGGTGAGCTAATGAAGACTTATTTAGGCTGGTCTGTTGGAATTGCTGCTTTCTTTTGTTATGGTGGTTGGACCTGTGATACTCGAATGCTTGGAATTAAGATGGTGTTGAGGTTGGTGCTAGTGTTGTGATATCTTAATGCTAGTGACTGTGTGGTTCATTGGTGAGCCAACAAAGGTTTCTTTAGGCTGCTCTGTTGGAATTGCTGCTTTCTTTTGTCATGGTGATTGGACCTGTGACACTTGAATACTTGGAATTAATATGGTGTTGAGGTTGGAGCTAGTGTTATAGGATTTTAGTGTTGGTGACTATGTGGTTTGTTGGAGAGTCAATGAAGATTTCTTTAGGTTGCTTTGTTGGAATTGTGCTTTCTTTTATTATGGTTGTTGGGCTGTGACACTTGAGTACTTTTGTTATTTTTTTTTTTTTTTTTTTTTTTTGTAGGTTCGTGAGGTCCATGATGAGACATATGATCTTATGGGTTCGTCTAGATGGTCGGTTTGTCGTTGTTACATGTGAAATCCTAATAAAAATAACCTAGATTCTATTTTCTTTTCGGTGCATCAATTTATGAGGGCCTACTGGATGGTCATTTTTTTATGATATGCACATGTGACACAAGTCATTAGTTTCACGTAGGTTAAACACAACTAAGAACTCTTTTTTTTTTTTACAAGTTTCATAGTCTTCATGTAGTGACAGACTCGTTAATTAGTGTAGTTAGTTCTCTGAGACTTCACACCTATATTTTTTTCCAATCTATGTTTTTTTTCGGTACTATTTTCGATAATTTCCATTTTCATGTACATTTTTTTCTTTAGTTTAATTTTTTGAGCTGACAAATGTTTTCTCTCATGCACCTTTCAAGCAACATGAACTCCAAGATTTTCAGAGACCTCCCGACTTGTGTTCTGTCAATGTGGACTACAAACTTCCTTATTGACATCACGTCAGACACACAATTACGAGAGAAATTTTACAGTTGCCCACAAAGTATCTTGGAGAGGTGTGCTTCTTTCCAGTAGACGTACAATTCGTCAGACTCCACCGCCGATAGTGATTGGGATTCAATCATATCCCTGGATGATAGTGTATCTCGCGAGATATGTTGTCTTAATTTTAAAATTAATATTTTCATAATTTTAATCGTAATTTTAATAATATTTTTTTAATTAAGCTTGATACTCACTCTTAAGTATAAGTAAGTACTCTTTCATCTTTTTCTTTAACGTTCTACATTAGTTTTCTCCTTTTTGCTGTATTGAATATAATACCAAGAGAGGTTCTGTTGAAATCATCATTTATCCACAAACATCTGTAAATCGCAGTTTCCTGCAAATCAATCTGTTGTAAAAAAAATACTTTTTGACCCGCGACATAGTTCCTTCTGCCCTAGCGTCCGCCCACCGCTACGCTCCTTCTCTCGCGAAGACCCCTGCACCTCTTCTTCCTCAACCAAAAAAAGACCGAAACCAGGTAATTCTAAACCCTGTTGTGCTCTCGCTTTAGCGAATCTGATTGGAGCTTCCGTTATGGTTGAAAAAAATTGGAGGTTACGGCATTTGGAACTCTTCGTTCCATCCCACCACGTAGAGGGTTTTTCCTTTTATCTTTCTCGTTTCTCCCATCTCCATCTTTCGATATTTCTTGGATCTGTAGCTCTTGCTAACTGTTTTTAGCCAGCACTAATCAAAGTTTGTCGTAAATCCTGAGGAGATAACAAGCAACCGTATTTGATTTACATGAAGGGCAAAATGTTTTCTGGCTCCTCTTCATTTTAGGATTTTAGGCATCCAAACAAATTGTATTTTAGGCAGTAAAATTGGAGTTCTTGCTATACGATTAGGCAGTAAAATTTTTTTACTGCCTAAATAATTGCTTTGATTTTTGTTGCACATCTTACTATTTGTTTTAGGATTTTAGATTTTTGAGAAGGACAAAATGTTAAATCCTTTGAATGATACATTATTGAGCTTGATTCATGTTCTGTTCTGGCTCCTCTTCGTGGAAGGTAGCTTGATTCGTCTATACTTTGCCAAGCAAGCATATCCGATCAGATTGTCTTCAGGATTTGGGTTGGTTTAGATCGTGGAAACTTTTTTCAATATTTTTCTTGAAGTCAACTTGAACAGTTTTACGTTGTTAGCTTTGATCAAACAAGCTGCATTGCCTTTCGCCTTGATCAAATCGAATTGTTTGAAGATTTACATATGCATTACCAACATTAATTTTTAATTTTGATTCACAAATATTTATTGGGGTGGAAGAATGGAGGAAAGTCGCAACAATAGCTATGATGGATTTTCTTTAAATTGTTTTTTGTTATGCTACGATATTTTTTTTCAAATCCTATAGTCGTCTCGAAAATTAATTAAAAATAAAAAGTTTATTGAACAAAAAAGTAGTCGCAAGTCTTTAACTAAATGTTTCTATGCTACGATATTTTTTTTCAAATCCTATAGTCGTTTCAAAAATTAATTAAAAATAAAAAGTTTATTGAACCAAAAAGTAGTCGCAAGTCTTTAACTAAATGTTTTGATTTCGGATCTACCATATTGAGAGGATACTTTAAATAGAAGGATTAAATTATGGCAAAATCTTGGATTGCATTATAGAATTGCGCAGAGCCTACTTAGATATGATACCACATGAGCAAGGACAAGATTACCCAATTGAATTACTGAATAGAGCTAGCTACAATGTCACATGAGAAATATCGAGCTAAGCTTGCTAGGATAGAGTGATCGTGCGACTCTTTTGCTGGATAATATAAGCAAAGCTTGTTGGGATAACAACAAAAGAGGACACAAACCGTTTGTTAGATATAGTATTGTGAGCGCGAGACCTCATGCGATTTTGCATCACCAAATTATGCCTTATATATAATCACATAAATCAATTTAGCATCCAACATGAGGGCAATGCGCAATGCGACATTGTTAATCCATGGAACAAATTGCACGTCATTTTTTTACGTTATGTCGCTCTATAATGATGGTACTTGTGGTGCATTCATGTGCCATGGTGCGCGTAACTGACATGTATGATTCTTATATTTTTGATCCCTTGTTTAATGTTTTCACAACTATTTTATAGTTAAGAAGAGTCTTTGGAGAGATTTATGATGGTCTTATTTGCTCTGCTTAGTACAACAAAGTGACAACTAGAGTTGGTTGAATTAGTCTTGGGCAACATATCAACCCCTTCCTTTCTTTTCTTCATTTTTCCATGGTATCTTTTTTTTGTGCTTTGTTGTTGCCTTTTGATTTTCTTGATGTTGGAAATCATTATGCAAAAATATTTGAGTAGATGATGAACTAATAAGAGAGATTAAAATTAATATTCTACTTGTGATAATAAAATTGACTCTAGAACTTTTAGTGACTGAGTATTGGCTTTAGACAACTTCTTTGAATACAAAATCTTGTCTAATGAACTATAAATTAGATTTATGAGAATGAAATAACTAGGTAAGTTAAAGTTTATTGGATGATGCGAAGGCAGAGAAAAATTGGCAATGGAACTTACTACCACATGGGCTAAATAAAAGAATTTTTGAAGAAAATTATTTTCTTAACATATCATGATCATTTTGTCACAACATTTTAATATATTATTTCAAGGGACTAGAATTACTATAAAATACATGAACAAATTTGAAAAACTTTTTTGCTTTTTGGTATTGTTGAAAACCCAAATAATTCACTCTTTAGGTTTAATATTTATTTGAGTCCTGATATTAATAGAAAGATGCACCTCATGATTTTCAATCTTTGAAGGATGCTTTTCAAATTGTATTTGCTTTAAGTAAATATTAAAGATTTTATGTTAAGAAGTGCATCATTCATTAAATGTAATTAAGTTTAAGGGTAGTAATACTGAAGGTAATAAGGATGCTAAAATGAAATCCATTGCATTTGCATTGGTTTGATATTTTTGTAAAGACATTTTAAGCATTATAAAACTAGCATTACATTGATGAGTGTCTCGGTAGAAACTTGTGTATAAATGTGAATGCAATAATTTTAATAATTTTTATGAATTTGATGATGAAATTAGCGAATCTAAAGATGTTGTAGTTTTTAATTCCTTGAAGATCATGTGTTACATTTTAGCTACTCCGAAGATAGAATGTTATTAGAAAAGGATAGCATTTTTTCAAAATTAATTTCAATTGTGAGGCTAAATTTTACAAGCTTATGATTGAGGATTTGAGCTTTAAACTACATCCGCAACCATAGTTATATGCTGCTAATTGGTGTTTCGCATGTTATTTCTAGATTGAATTTGAATTTATGATTGAGTTGTTACTCATTTTCAATGACCTAATACTTACACTTTCAAAACTAATAAAAGATGGATACTTTTGAAATCTATAAAATGTAGGATAAATCGGAGTCTACAAAAGATTATAGTGCTTCCAATGAAGTGAATGCCTTTTAATATTTTAAGTATATTTTTGAGAAAAACACTGTCATTGCCGGACCCAAGCCCAGATGTGAAAAGTGGAGGGTTGCGTTAGGAAGTCGACAACCAACGTAAAACTTGTTGAAAAAATCATGACATGAATCTTTTTGATCATTTAGTAAAAAGTGTGCAAGGGCCACTACACCGACGCTTGGGTGTAGTGTCAAATAAGGAAGGGTTCCCACATTACGGACGAATGCGGGTAAAAAAGTTAGTCCATGAAACTAATGAAACTAATATTATGATAGGATCTTGAAATATAAGTACTCTCAATAGTAAATTAATAGAATTAGTTGATATTATGATTCATAGAAAAATTAATATCTTATGTATTCAAGAAATTAAATGGGTTGAAGAAAAGACTAAGGAGATTGATAATTTAGGTTTTAAACTTTGGTACTTTGGTAAGAGTCGCACTAGAAATGGTATAGGTGTAATTATAGATAAGAGTTTTAAAGATAATGTTGTAAAAATTAATAGAGTTGGAGATAGAATTATAACCTTTAAAATTATCATTACTAAGATTTTTAATATTATAAATGTTTATGCTCCTCAAATAGGTTTAGATACAGGGTCTAAAGATAATTTTTGGAATGACTCAGAAGACTTAATACAAATGATATCTCTTGAAGAAAGAATTTTTATTGGAGGAGATTTAAATGGACATGTCTGTAGAGTGATAGAAGACTTCAGAAATACTCATCGTGGCTACAGTTTTGGAGTAAGTAATGATGAAGGTAGAGCTATTTTAGATTTTGCTTTAGCGTATGATTTTATTATTACTAATGCTTTATTCAAGAAAAGAGAAGCGTATCTTATTACTTATAAGAATGGATCTAATAAAAC